TGTTATAATATAAGTTAAATCGCTAATAAGAGTAAGATTATATTTTAGTAGATAAGTTAGTACCTGTTAGATGAATCCATACCTGTTTTGGTGGAAATGATAGGTAGTTAGTATCTTAGCCATTAGAGCTAGCTTAGTGGCTTAGTAGATGTATTCTTATTTTAAGAATTGATGTTGCCTTAATATTAAGGGTTGCATCGTCATTGCATGCATGTAGAGAATGAGTTGGTGAAGTTCGTAACCACCGGAGAGCAGGAGTACGAGGAGGTGATCGAGGAGTACGAGGAGGAGGTTCTCGTACAGGAGGAAGCCTCGGAGCCACCGGCAACTGACTTAGCTGACACCCCGCCTGCCCAAGGCAAGTCCCGGTGCATAACCCTTTTTTTGGATAATCACTGTTTATATATGTTATGTGCATCTATGTTATAGGAATTTTATGAAAACCACATGCATAGATATAACTATCCTATAAGTCCTACTAGTACAGATTCGAGTAGCTGCTATGCTTAGGTTTTCGGTAGCGTGAGTAACCTGCTGTTACTCACAATAGGTGGTTATTATAATTACTCTCATAATAAAATGATGATAGGAAAAATGGAGACAGGGCAGGGATATGATATGGGTATTGGTGAGTGTAACAGGTTATGTCCCGCGACCAACGGAGCTTAGCTTGGTTACACTTTTTTCCCTGTTCGTGTCGATTAAGGACCATCCGTTGCTGTGGATGGTAGTCAGGTCATAGACTTATTATCCTGATCACATACTTGCTTATGGGAGCGGGAAGGCTCATTTTGCTCTTGTCGTGGGTTCTGGCTCTTTCCAGACCGACTGATTGGAGGCGAAGAAAGGTGGAGGTCTAAGCACCATACTAAGACCGAGTCTCAAGTGTGGGGGCTTGGAGTCCAAGTTTGTTCGGGGACCTAGACCCCATCACATGAGTAAAATGGGTTGATCTTGTTTATGCTAGGGGTACAAACAGAGCGTGTGTTTCGGGGTACCCAGCTGGGATACATTGGTTCACGAATCGTCATTTCTGTGAGACGGTGTGACTTGGCTATGGTCTAGCACCGTAGTAAAAACTGGAAGATGAAAGATGGTAAAATCGTTCTGATGGCTCAACCCTTGATTGAAAGTAGAACAGGTGCTTACCTAGAATGGTTAGCTAATGAAGTAATCATGACTGTCAATAAAACTTGACTGTGAGGATAAATTATTAGTAATGCTTTTCGCAAACAAAAGAAAATAGCAAACCCATATTTCCTATTATATTTCTTGGAGTCAGAAAACTATTCCCACTAGTCGGATAAGTCTTACGAGTACATTGTGTACTCAGGGTTTATTTTACCCCTATTGCAGGTGCAGCTTGAGGAGTAGCTCTTGTATGGAGGATTCTTCTATTGGGCACAGACGGATCCTTCTATCGTTTTCGCTAGATGCTTATGTTCATTCCGCTGTTTAATTATTACACTCATAACTTTGGTATTGTAATAAATAATTTTCAAGAACTCTGGTTATATGAAATGGACTAAGTATTGTAAGCTCGTACTCACTATTGGATTCTGGATGTAAAACGTGGATTGTTTTGAGTTCTCCCTTGGGGTGTGCTCGACGAAACTGTCCGATGTAGCCAACTTTTGGGGTGCTTAGTGTCTAGCGAAAGACGAGCTCCTCCGGAAGGATGCTATTTCGGGTGGTTCTGCCACACGAAAGAGGACGCTAATCAAAGCTACGATGAAAAAGAAACGACCACAGTAAGATTCTCTTTATAAAAGAAAACTAGGCTTCATTCATTTTAATGATTATATAAAAAATGTATAAGATACTTTAGAGAAATAACTAAACTGAATTCAGTCAAATTGTGCTTGAATTATATATATATAAATAAAAATAAGATATAACTAGTCATATTTTATTTATAAATCCAGTTACATAATCATTATTCACATTAGGACTTAAACCATGAAATTTCAGAGCTAGTGACATGCTAACTAACTAACGCGTATATTACGTCGTTATGAATCTAACGCAACTTGAACAGACTAAAACGGAGCTATAATGAAGATTTTATGCATAAAACAATATCGGTGGCAATTTTGTAAATACTGGATTTGATTTTCATATTAAAATGAAATCGAGATTTTGAATCTGCTCAAGGACCTTGGGTTCGAAAATAGAAAAAATGCAGGCGCTCTTTTAAAAAACAGCTAACGAAAGGGTATTGGCTGATCTGAGCCGTAATCTTGATTTAGATGGCTGAGATTAGATGGGAGGGTAAAACACAGAGAGGAACAGCCGGAACAGTGTGGCCGGTGCGGTGGCAGCCATTGCCGACGGCGAAGAGCTCGCCGGCGCACAAGGAAAACGACCTACGGGCCACTATTCGACGCGGGGAAAACACGGGGAGAGAGAACGGGCGACTACGATCGTCGTCGGCGAGGAATGAACGGGGACGGCCGCGCGACGACAACCTCCTGTGAACCAACGGCAGCGATGTGTGAGCAAACGAGACCAACCGAACAAGAAAGAAAAACGCGGGCGGCTTCGTTACAACACGGTGGAGCTCGGCGACGAACGAAATCGGCAGCAGAGCGACGGGAACAACGAGGCGAGCTAGGGTTGCGGCTGCTGCGAACTCGACGCGAGGCTGTGGCTGCTCATAGATGGAAAAAACCCCGTGGCGGCTTATAAAGGGCAGCCCGGTGTGGCAAGCACGGCCAAAACCCTGTGGAAATCGGGATTGGTGCGGATTCGGCATGACCGGCTCGAACACGGCCCGGGGTGTCAATGGGTGAAGAGCGGGGGCGGGCTGTCAGCCAGAGAGAGGGAGGGAGCGCGGCGCCCGTGCAGCTTGGGCCGAGGAGGCAAGCTGGGCGGCGGTGCAGGGGAAGGTGGGAGCAGGCCGGCCTGACCGCTGGGCCTGTGGAGGGGAATGAGCAGAGCAGGCCGGGCTGAGGCCTTTCGGCCGGGAAACAAGAGGAGAAAAGCATTTTCCTTTTTATTTTCTGAAATCTGATTTCCAAACTATTTTCAAAGGGATTTGAATTCAGTTTGAGTTTCAGACCAAAACACACAGAACAAAAACACCAATGCACCAGTATGTATGCAACAGCAATACTTGCTATACCTTTATGATAAATTTTAGTTTAAGGAAAATAATTATTTTTCCTATGTTTCATGAGCACAAAAATTCATAATTAAATCATTTTTACTCTATTTTCAAAAAAGCAAATTTTAGGGTGTTACAGTCCTTCAATGATCCTGTCCACGCCGGCTATCCCAACGGAGATACGTTCGCTGACAATTTTAGAGCTCGCCGCTGATGTAGGTGCTTATATTAGGCAAATCAAGAATTGGCAATAGCAACAGGATTCAGAGTTAGCATCCTCAAAATCATTAGTCAGATAGAAAATCAATAGGATTAACTTAGTTAATAACTTTGAAGTAAATACTCCTAGATAATCATTAATCTTTGTGCGCGCGTGGGGATGGGGGCTGCCCTATCGCTAAATTTGCCCACCACAAGCATCCCAAGAACATTTTGTAGATTTATTGAAACTGAATTTTAAAGAAACTCAAAATCTAACGAAAGGAATTCTACCCCGGATGGTTGAGCTGATGATGTCATGTTGTCTTATTGATGTGACCTAAATGGTACTCCTTCCATCCCTAAAAAATACAATCTAGAACAGTGTCATGTTTTAGTATACAAAGTTTGACTAATTATAGATAAAAAAATATAAATATTTATAATATCAAATAAATATCATTAGATTAATTATGATATATATTTTCATAATAAATTGATTTGGAGCCATAAATATGAATACTATTTACTGAGAATTTGGTCAAACACGAAACACTTTAACTGACACGCATACCATAATTACATCTTTTTTGGACAGCGGTAGTACCCATCAAAAGTGGACAAGCGGGCTGACGATAAAAATCGTTGATTTCTGAGTTCGACAGATGTACGGTAACACCGTTCTTTGTCGTTTTAGATCGTTTCAGGCATGTGCAAATCTTGGAGTGGAAACCAGTAGAGGAGGAAACCGGTGTGCGCGTGTAGCTGTCAATTCACTGGCATGCTAAAAAATTCGGCATAAGTAAATTTAAATTCCAATGTTGCCTAGTAAATTGCATCACATTCTGCCCATTTTGGCATCATGTCTTCCCCTACCCACAAACACGGCATGCTGCAACTCCTCCTGCATGCCCACTGTCCTACTCCACCGAGCAACTCTTCTATGACTCCTACATTTCCTGCTCGCCTGTTATTTGTGTCAAGGTGGTGAGCTTAACCGTGTTTAAGTTTTTCTTCCTTCTGTAAAGCATTTTCGCATTCCCACATATTTTCATATACTATTTGAGAAAAAAAGATCAGGTAATGGACAAATTGCGCTTCTATTTCTTCTCACTCGCACGGCCCAACGGCTCGTTGCCCCGCCGGGCCGACACGGACACACGGTGCCCCGGCTCCGCTGTTGCTTTCGTCCGTCCCCCATATGGTTGACTATCAAATCCAAAGCTCCCGTGCAACACACAGGAACAGCGGCGCCGCAAAGCAAACAAGCAGCCACCACATCTATCCTCGGGCCCCCGAATGGCGTCAGCGGCAGCAGTCGACGCGGACGCTGGACCCCGCACGGATCTCGACCGGTGACGTCACCCCCACCCCTGGCCTCTACGCTACTGCCACCTGTCCACCAGATAAGGTCCGCCCGGGCTCCCATCCCGCATCCATGATCCATCCTCCTCCTCCTCCTCCTCCCTTCCCTCCATTTAAGCCGCGACCTGCGTCCCAGCATCGCATCAGCAATTCATCGCCCCTTGCCTCCCCTTCTCCATTCGCCCTCTCCCACTCCCTTGCTCACATCACCTGCCTATAAATCCAGGGCCTGCCTTTGACCCTCTTCCCTGCTCCAGTCCAGTGGCCGGCCGCTTTCTTGCGTTCTCGGAGAGTCTAGCTGCTAAGAGTGTGAGCAGGAGGATCCATATCCATGGCGGCGGACAAGGAGAAGGAGATGGCCTGCGCGGGGTACCAGCACGGGCCGCCATGGGTGTTCAAGGGCAGGCAAGCAAGGCCGCAGCTCTCCTTTTTTTTTCTTTCCTGATTGATCGAGCCCGAGGCCGTGGGTGATGGTCTCTTGCTGCCGGCTTGAATTTGCTGCCTGCAGCGCATTGTACCAGCTGCATTTGGTGAAGGCGTCGACGGCGCGCGCCTTCGTGCCGCGGGACCTCCGCCTCGTGGAGGCCTTCGGCTACACGCTCGGCGGCATGTTCCTGGCGCGCTACCACGACAGCCCCGCCGGCGAGTTCGACGAGGTACGCGCGCGCATGCATGCCGCCTGCTCTGCTGCCCTGCCACCACCCTCTCCTGAATCCTCTCTCTCTTCCTTAGCTTCGCTGCTGCTGGTTCTCGTTCTACCAAGATTCGGTAAGACGACCGACCTCTCCCCTTTTTTGCGCCTGCAGCTCGTGGTGATCGCCGGCATTGTGTGGAACCCGCCGACCTCCTGCGCGTGAGTTCGCCTTCGCTCCTGTTCATTGCATCTGCATTGCACTGCATCTTCTGTGGCCTAGTTTAATCGCTTCCAGGCTTCTACGCCACTTTCTCCTGTCTGATTGGCCTCAGCAAGCAGAAAAGAACAGAGCAACTTGCAATATAGAAAAAGAAAACGAAACCTCGTGTGCGCTAGCCGGCCATAAAGTACCCCCTTATCCCCCGTATGATTGTACTTGGCAGCACGGACTCTGCCTTGCTTCCTTCAATTATTCGAGGGTTTTCGGGTGGCCGGGTGCGCTGCACTTGCTCCGCGTGGCCAACTTGCTCTGCGCAGCTCAGCTGCAGCCGCCCGCGGTTTCCTCTAATCTTCCGTGGGATGCAGAGGACAGAAGAATATATGCATGTGGTATGTACAGTGCTAAGCAGAGCTGCAGACCCAGATGAAATGCAGCAACTGAACTCTGAATACGGTTCTGATGAAAGATAATCGGGTGATGACTTGTTTTTTGTTGTTTTTTTCTTTTTGGGTTTTTCTTTGGCTGATGAAATCTAGCGGTAGTACTCCTGCTTCAGTAGCCTAGATCCTCAGTGCATAGGATGACTTGCTTGACTGAACCTTTTCAGTTCTTGCTGGCTCTGAAGCCTGGTATATTGTCTGAACCTATTCAGGTGGGCTGCCAGGGTGCTGGTGAACAGCATCGAAGCCTGCCGGCACGGCCGCAAGGTTACCATCGGAATTCCTCTCGATCTGTGTCACTTTGTTGTCCTACTGCTTCCTTCGCCTTAATTCGAACCGTTCCAATTCTTGCAGGAGGTAGGACTACCAAGCCATGTCGCTACATTCTCAAAGGTACTGAGATACAAACCCATTGCTACATTCAGAAAATATGACTGTTGGTTAGGCTTGAAAAATGTTGTCATTATGAGACTTGTAACCTATCTGTCACATGAGATAGACTGAAGCTGCTTCACTCGGGGATAAACCGTTGGTCAAACCAAACAGCTTCCTTAACATGCTAGGGATTGTGTCGACAACCTCCAAGCAAGGGAATGGCCGTGAGATTGAGATTTCAGAGACCAAGGGCTCATCTACTAGGCACTTGTGCAACATCAGCCTGCCACTTACTGGTAATTTCAGTCTTCTTATCCGCTTAATGATCCATCGAAGACACGCCACCCGGAATAATTGTTAGGCTCAAAGTTGTACTTGTTTCCTTATCCTTTTGAGTTACATTCTTCAACATGGAAAATGCATTGTTTTTTACCAGAATTAGTAACCAGTAAGGCATCTAGGCTCATCAGAAACCATGTACATATTAGTCTGAATTTGTTGCATTGGATTTTAACAAATCACTCTTACCTCACTTCATCACTGAAGATCAATGGATGTCAAATACTAGGCGTTTCCATTGCCTTTCAGAATGTCATTTTCCTAACCTTTTATCCTTTTCACTCTCAAAATGGTACTCACGAACCTTGGCTTTGTTGATTCAATGCTTTATTTCACTTTCTGATCATGTGGAAGTGGACAGCAGGATCACATAAGAACCACAAGTGGATGGGCCCAGCAATCAGAATGTCACTTCCAAGTTTCAGGTTAGGTAAAACAAACCGGATTGCCCATGATTTCTCAAAAGAAAGCTGCCAGAAAATATGTAAATAAATTAAATGCTTTATGAAGCCATGTGCAGATTTCTATTGAGAAGAAAAAATCCTCGTCAAAATTTCTGAACAAACATGTCTCGCTTTGTAAATTTCAGTGGGCGGACAGAGGACCATCCTGATCTTCTCAAGTACTCCTGTCAAGTAGAATGCAGGTGATGACATAATTGAACTCTGTGAACGTCCTGAGATATACATTGATGGCATACGATGTATCTGTTTTCAACACATTATTGCCTTTCTAAGCAACTATTTTTCTTCCACAGGGTGCGCCCTGTAAAGCCTGCTAGGATTTGGAGTCCAAGAACCACAGAGCCACAGGAAAAATCTGACGGAAAGATCAACAGCTCTGGGTCCAACGTGATAGATGACTTGGATGCGCAAAGCCAGAGCATTTCAGTCCTGTTATCCAGGCCCATTTTCGCCCTTGAGTTCAGCTCCCTGAGGATGCACGTTGACGCTCCCAAGATCGTTGTTCCACACTGCAAGAAGAAGAAAGTCGGATACTCGAGCACTTAGATCTGAAGGAGCTGTGCATTATGGTTAAAAGAACCCCGGGAGTTTTGGCCACGTTTGACCCGGTTGCTTGATGAATTCATGCAGTTTCTGGTTGCTTTTACCACAACATATTCTTTTCTTGGTTATTTTTTTCTTGGCCTTTTTTCTTGTTTATAAGGAAATATGTCGGATATGCATAAGCATAACATAGTACTTGTTTAATTCAAAATTGGAAGTAGTTTGATTCCTGTTGCAAATTGTCAGAGATTGGTAACTTTGATGCATGCTCTGTATTCAGAACAGATTTTTTTTCTTCTAAAAGCACAATAAAGAAGAAAAGACAATGAGCCACTGGCATAAAAGATTGATCCCCCAAATTCTTTTTCAGTAAAGATGAACATGCCTGAAGAAACATATGCAGTGTTGAAACAAAGAAAAGGTACTGTTACCAGATCAACCCACAACTACAACATTCGTTAGCCCTAAACAACAGAGAGTGCTAATTCCACAAGAACGCACAAAGACAACACACAACAGTAACATAACACACAACACATGACAAATTGACAATCCTACAGGTAATCCTGAGCCACCAGTGCTATCTCTAACTCTAATCTCTGAACTAGTCATATGCTATCATCAGTTCAGTGATGATCAAACCACGGCAAGAAGCTCTCAGTGTCATCGAACCCGTCGATGCAAGCCAGCAGCTCCGGTTCCATGAAGTTCAGAGGGATCGGAGACAGAGGAGCGCAGACGATGTCCATGAGTCTCTCCCCAATCTGATCACCGGCCGGTGGTGGCGGCAGCCGCAGCGGCTTCTCTAGAGGCAGTCGGCTCACCAAGGCTAGCTTCTGCTCGATCCCCACCATCGGTCCACTAACTGGGACCGCCGCGATCGGTTCTTGGCCGGCGGCGGCGACCGGAGCCGGCGTCGGGCCGGCCAGGACGGGCTTGACGGCCGGGCTGGAGGACCCAGCCGTGGAGCTCTCCTCGCTGCTGTAGACAACTAGCTGCAGGCCCCGCGCCGGAACCCCGGCGGCGTCGGACGACGTGCTGCCGGCCGGGCAGGTCCGGCGGCCCCAGGTGGCGGCGGTTCTTCTCGCCGCTGGGAGCAGGTACTTCTTCTTGAGCGTGCTGTTCCAGTAGTTCTTGATGGCGAGGTCGGTCCTCCCGGGAAGCTGAGCGGCGATGACAGACCAGCTGTTGGGTGAACACACCAACGAAGCCAAGAAATTTGCAGCATGTCAGTGATTGTGCTTCAATTCTCTGCACTACATTTTTATCTACTCAGTAATTAACTGATATGAAATCTCAGTGCAATAACTGATATGAAATCTCAGTGCAATAAAACAGCAGTTCAACAACTCAATATGTACGTTCAATGAAATCAGTGAGTAAAAGACTGCAGTTTTTGCAGAATGGGTTAACTTCTGAAAAATGACCATGGCAATCCGTGTTGTCAGATGTTGCTGCACTACTTGCACTTGCAGTGGACATGGAGAATGGGTTCGTGTGAGACTTACCAGCTTCCCCTCTTGCTGTACATCTCGCAGATGATCCTCTCCTCGGCCAGCGTGAAATTGCCGTGCTTCAGTCCCGGGCGGAGGTAGTTCAGCCACCTGGAACGGCAGCTCCGCCCGCACCGCCTCAGCCCTGCAGAGAGCCATTGAAAAAAAAAAAATCTTTTTAGATAATGGAGTATCTGAACACGGAGGAGAGCAATTTATTTTAGCTTATGCATGCATTACAACGATCATGTCAGATATATACGAGTAAAATCCATTGAGGAGAGCAATTTGACGACGCGTGGCTGCTTGATCAAGAAGTGACAATGCTAGCAAACAGAGATGACAGTGCTAGCAAACAGAGATGACAATGCGCAAACAGAGATGAATGACGAGCAGTATACAAACCTAAACTGTCGGACAAGGCCTGCCAACTCCGACCGATGCTGCCATGCCTCTGAATGTAGTTTATGATCAAGTCATCCTCCTCCTTTGACCACTTCCCCTTCTTGATCATCCTCACCCCTTAGCTTGTGTACTAAACGAACACACTTGTCTCCCAGAGGGGGGCAGATGAGTTCAAGAAGAGTACAGTATGAAGCCCAATTTATAGGGAATAGCCACGTACGGTAAACACGTAATGCATGATAATCTCAATGGTTTACCGTGGGGGTAAATATTCCTTGTCGTTTTACCGGTTTGTCCTGTATTTATATCCAACGATTCCTTATTCTCAGAAAGGAGGAAAAGGAGGTGGTGAAATGAAAGGGAGGGTAAAAGGAAATAGAAATCTCACACCACATGATGAGGCTTCTGCAGTCTTACAGAGGTAAGGGGGGAAGTGAAAAAGAAAAAGGAATCTACGTTTGATGTAAAATGGAATTGGTACATGTGTGTTCTCGACTTCTCGTAGCCGCAGCCTCCTAGGGCCTCTGCACTGCCTGCTAGTGAGAAAAAAGACGGGACATGTATCCTACAAGTAAGTCAAGCAATCGTCGATATTATAGTTTTTTAATCCAAATGAATTTATTGACGGAGTCATCACTAATTTTAGGATTATTAGAGCTTAATCACAATATTGGCTTTGACGATGGTCACAACGAGGTAACCCTTGTGGTCGTCGATTTTCATCGACAAGTGACTAAATTGTGATATATATCTGCCAAATGATCGTCGCTCCTGGACACTCATTATTGTCAGCAGGCCGCACCCAGGTGACCCGTCTGCGGCTCCTAAGCCAGAGTCCTGGCAGGAACAAGATAAGGAGCGTCAGGATCGCTAGGCCAGAATGGGCCTGTGAAGCTTGTAACGCGAAGCCCATCAATGAGTGAGGATAAGTAGCAGAGAGCAAGTAGCTATGAGGCATCAGAAAACCCCTAAACTTGTTATGCCAGCTACCGCCGCACCACTATTCTTCTTCCCTTCCGCCGTTTAGTCGCCGACGTGGCTAACACTGGTATCAAAGCTGCTCGATCTCCGGCCTCTGCTCGTGCTGGAGACTCTCCCCACACCCACTCCCACTTCACTCGCCTCCAACGATCCCACGGCGCCATGGATCCAGTCGTCCGCCAGATGTTCGACGACTTGATCCAGAGGTTCCACACGTTCCGCACCGAGTTCGACGGCCTTGGCCCCCGCCTGGATCATCGCTTCACCAACTCGGAGGCCTACAGGTTCCAACACGACTCCGCCGTCGACACCCGCCTCGAGTCCCTGGAGCAATTCGCGTCCGCCCAGTACACCGCCACCATCGTCGCCAACTGGCTTGTCTTCTTGCGCCCGGGCCTTGGCTAGCGTGGTTAGCCGGGCAGGAGCCAAGGGCTGGGCCTAGACGCGCCGTAGATTGGGTGCCTGTTGGTATAAATTAATGCACACAGAATAATCCGTAAGCGCACAGATATTATACCGTTGTAGCACTTCACCGAGAGTAACCCGGTTTTTTATCGAACCCAAAGGAACGGGGTGAGAATAACCAATTCTAACTTAACCCAACTTCACCATCAAGGCTAGATAATATGAGCGTAGAGGAAACTGCTAAGGTCTTCTAGTTCTAACTTCGGCAAGCTTTGTCTTCTATTGTTCAATTCTAGGGATATTACTAGAGAAAACACAAGCATAGTATATTCCTATAATAACAAAGTCCTGCTAGGCCTACTAACAGGAGGTGGACTACAGAGGATTCAACGAGGCTATAAGAGTCACCCTCGCGAGCTACCATCGATCCGAAAAATAGGGTACATCCACGAGTAACTGAGTCTAAGCACCACGCTTATATTACGAATACTACTTTAACCCAGGAGCTACAAGGATTAAAGTACTCAAAAGAGAGTCGCAAATCTGAAGAACAATATGAACAAGATGCTTACTTAAATTAGAAGTCGATTACCAGAGAAATCTCATAAGCAAGCTCAAGAAGAACTTGATTCCGCCAGGGTACAAGCCGTAGAGAGAGCACCGACAGACCGGGACTCCTCGAAAACTATTCCCTATCACTCTATCTCTCTATCTCTAATACAAGACTAGATCCTATCGAGGACTAATCTTCTCTTGATTGCTAGTCCTGATCCTGGTGGACATATGAATTAGGGTTTCTGGTTTCTCAGCTCTCAGGATCAAATGAGGCATGCCCTGAGGGGGGCGCAGGCAGATATATAGGCCAGAGCATTAATCCTAAGCTCTCGGATCAAACCGACTTGAATAAACGCTGAGATGCATCCTCGGATGCGATGGAGAACCGACATAACAAAGAGGATGATAGGTGGGGCCCACAGGGGTTGGGCGGCCTCTAGGTGGGGCCGGTCAGCCCCACATGTCAGTGGGTCAAGCCCCGCTTCGGTGGAGAGCCTCCTGGAGTCTTCTGGAGCCTTCCCACGTTGACCCCGCGGCGGAATTCCGTGATTTCCTTTGACGAATGTCTCCCTTGACGGTTTTCTGATTAAATCCTACTAAAAACATATATTCACCAAAACTCATAGAATTTGTCAGTTTAAACCCCTAAGCTACATTGGTGATCCGTTTTAGCCATTTATGCAAGGTATATTGACGGTTTGTGATGAATGTTAACTACCATCAACAAACTCCTCCACACTTAGGCTTTTACTCATCCTCGATAAAAGGATGGATTACTCATGATATAACCTTGAGACAAGACATCAATATAAAACCATTCCCAGTCATTCATGCACTGCAGGATTTCAATGTGTCTACCATGAAACTTTGGGCGGTTGAAGAATGGAACAGCTTGAAACAGATCACCATCTTTCTTCAGTCAAGTCAATTAGAGAAACATTTTAAGATTTTTGAAAACAAAACATAGCTTACCTTCTCCTTTTGTGGTCCTCTCAAATCACTCAGTATGTAGCATTTTTGGATCTTCACCAAGGCATTGATGATTGTGCCTTCTTTTTACCTATTTCTAAAAGCTTATATGGAACTTAGGTAGGGATGAATATGAAAACATACTTGCATTGCATATATTGTAAAGTCAAAACAAGGATCCAAGGAGAAAAATGTCATACTCTTAGATCAAGATATGCATATGTGTGGAATATATATATATGGTGGCTAACCTAATTCTACTATGCTCCTGGAAACATGTCTCTCTTATTTAAAACTTTGAGACACTTTTGCAAGAAAACATAGGCTATCTTATTCATCTCTTTTTTTCAGGCGGGCATATGAGTACCCATTGTTTTAGATATCTTGGACACTTGTCCATTTTTTTAATATTTTTTCTCTTTCTTTCATGAATAACTTTTGCATAGCCCCATGCCTCTTTTTCTATAATTGGAACTCTCAAGAGAGATTTTTACAAGAACTTGGAGCATTTATCCTAACAAACATATTTTTGTGTCTATTCTCAGTGTAGGAGTAGAACATTTTTAGGTGGATGGAAAACATATTGTTGCGTACTCCCAGTGTAGGAGCAGCATGTATATGTGGAGTGTACATGATCTTGATCTTGAGAGCATGATAAGTTTCTCAACAAGGATCACAAGGTTTGACCAAACTCAACACCATGACAAGTAGTATATGTAGAAGGTTTCCCTAGTCCATATATAATGTATGGCTCTGGTAGGACATTATTTACCACAAAGAAGAGGTATAGCTACTATTTTTATTTTTTGAAATAAAATTCTCCAATAACAAGACATTAAGAATTAAGTTCTCATTATTCTACTATATCTCATCACACAACAACTTAAGTGACATGGTGTCGACGAAATATGGCCGGCAGTCTACCTAGGGGTATGCCCAAGATAGTAGATTATCGGCAGACAGATGCACAAGCTACAAACAAGATGGTGACGCAAGACAGACATGAGGTTTTATCTAGGTTCGGCCGCCGTGATGGCGTAATACCTACGTCCTGCGTCTGATTGTATTGTTGTATGTCAATGAGAGATGTTTTGAGAGGGGTCCCCTACCCGCCTTATATAGTCTGGGGAGCAGGGTTACAGATCTAGAAACTAATCATAACCAGTTACAATTGCCATAGGTGGCCGGACAAGGATTTCTATTCTAACCGACCAGGATCTTGCTTGATCTCCAAGTCTGCCTTGGTTCCTTGCGCGGGACTCTAAGCAAATTGGCCGGGCCGCGCGTCATCTTCTAGTGGGCCAGACCCTCTGGTCCAGGCCGGCCCAATCCTAGCCGTAAGGGTATAGGGGTTAATACCCCCATAGCTAGTCCCCGAGCTCCATGTATTATGTTGCGACACGCCGTTCAATCTCCTTCGGCTAATGCGATTCGTCTTAATGTCATCTCCAACTGGTTGAAACATTGACCAAGCGAATGTGCCGGTATTCTGGTCAGAACAGAGAGCAGTAGACCACGATTATAGCCGAAGACTCCGGTTGTCCGAAGAATGCATGGTGCTCTAAAGAAAAAAGAAAAAGATTTCTTTCCTGATAAAGTGTGCCCACTTGTATTTCTGAAAAGAAATATAAGTGACCCTTGTACATTAGCAGTTATGGCCAACAGTCAGAGCGTAGGGGTCGATAAAATAAACACATTCACCGCAAGGTGAAGTGTGCCCACTTAGTCCCCGAGCCTGGTAGAAGGTGACGCAGGCACATGGTGCCAGGGTCTAAAAAGAATTCCTAATTAAGTTGAAAATCTAATCATCGTACAAACGATACGAGATGCACCGGCAGTGCATCGTACCGATGTAGTCCCCGAGCTTGCTGGAAGGTGAGATATTAGCCTTGTAGCAAGGTCAAATGAAGAAAAAATACCCCAACTGTATGCGAGTCGCCAGTCGCATGTAGTCGAGACGCGAAGTCCCCGAGCTATGATCGGAGAGAGGTCGAGGCAGTCCCCGAGCACAAGTCAAGGAGCGAGCGATGAAGTCCCCGAGCTGTAGTTAGAGAGTGATCGAGGCAGTCCCCGAGCACGATGGTGGTATGGACAGTCCCCGAGCACAAGAATAGTCACAACAGTCCCCGAGCACAAGGATAGTCACGACAGTCCCCGAGCACGGGGGTGGCCGGGACAATCCCCAAGCACAAAAAGTGT